ACTTTAACTTTTACTGCTGCTAGCGCGTTTATTACATGAACTATTAATGTAAAACTTTCTGAAAATAAAAGTTTTACCCTTTCTTTAATTGTCTCTAAAATCCCGATCAGATACGTCCAATAGTTAATTAACAGTTACATCATAAAATAAAGCTATCCTGAGAACAAAGAGGCGTAGGTGATTTTTCTTTTTTTTTTAAATTACCATAAAAATAAGCTCTATTTAACGCAAAAAGAACGAATTCCTGAGCGGCTTTTGCCTAACCCTGGGGTCAATTTGATTATAACGCTGTTTTTCACATCCTACTTTGTTAGTTATAAAGGGCAACTTAATCTCAACTTTTTGAAATTTTTCTTTTTCGATACGTTTCTTTTGATCAAATAGAACCTATATCTACGATATAAACTTCTTAAAATTAACGTTTAATTAAACAATTAATTGCAAAAAAAAGAACGAAGTTAATTAACAAATACCTGGTGCAACAATTTCATTCACGGTCAATCGAATTGGTCCTAGGCACATATGTTGATCTTTGGATTGACCGCCTTTTCCATAAATTTTATCAACATCCATCTATTTTTGCAATAATAATGCTCAATTTTCGAAAACTTATTTTTCCGCGTTCGGCCTTTTTTTACAGTTAACAAATTAGTGAAATATGGTTTTAGATACCTTAACTAAATTATAGGTAATTTAATTGCTTACATGCCGCCAACATAGAATAACTATTTTTCCAATATGTCGTCTAGACTTTCATGGGTAGTAAAAAAACTGAAAAAACACGTAATTTTGCAACATACTTATTTGCAATTTGTCAACTTAACGTCACTTCTCTCGAGTTACTTTTTTGATATTAGCATACCCTTGTCCTCCATAAAATGCAATAAATAAATACCTACTAATATTTTTTAGTAAATTTTCAGGTTTTGTGATCTAATTCCAATGGAGTAAAGAGTAATTATTTTAGCCTTTTCCTGATCGGTACAATATATGTCTGTTTTGTGTTAATAACAGCAACAACAAACAATTTAAATTATAAAAAAAACTCAATCTTGACAGAAACACGCGTAATAGACAAATACGTAGGTATTGTCTAATGGCTAATAAATGGTAATGGTAGTAGCATTTAGAACGCATGCGTGAATTTCAGTTGTTCCCGCAGATGCTTCGCCCGATTTTTTTGCTATTGCTCGTAAAAATCACTGAGTTTATTTGTAAACAGCATAATATGACTCAATATTTGCGGGGATTAATTTACTGTTTAAACTGATTTTTTATTCACACCAATACAATGGTAAGTTCAATTTTGTGTAAACAGACTTCATTAATTTATGAGTTCGTTTATTATTATTCTTATTATTCTTTATTATTATTATTAATATTGTTGTTATTTTTAGTGTTACTGCTATTATTATTATTCTAATCGTTTAAATATTTATTGTCATAAAAAATATATAATATATTTTGTTAAAAATAACGTATTTTTATTTACATCAAAGTTTCATTGTTTATTAATAGTTGACATCTAAATTAATTGAAAAGTATTAGCTATTTATGCGCCAAGCACAATTACGTTTATTATTTTTAATATTAGTTTTATAGTTAGAGAGATATATGATGAGTGAATTTATATTTGGTCTACATAATTGTAATAAACAATTATTATTATTATAAAGTGGTATACTATAAACAAAATTGTTTCTTTTTTAAGAAAATCATCTTTACCTTTTACGTTTATAGTGTATACATTATTAATAAATTTTATATTTTCATTTGCAATTTAGTTATATGTTTGATTCATTCCTGAAAACATTAGTTATTTTGTCTGAAAGATTTTGTATATAAAACACAGAATCAAAATGAAGATTGTTTACTGTTCCATCATTATTTCATTATTATCATGATTAGAATATGAAATATAAAAAATCGGGTCATTGCGTTTAAAAACCATGTTGAATGCGGCCTTCGGAAACACCCCGTATGCTTCATAATATTTTAAAAATGTCCCCCTTAAGGCGCCTAAAAATTATCTATCCGTATGGCATAGGAATAATATTATCACTATTGTCCCGCCCTGTATGAATATCCCTAGTAATGGAAAAAAACTTTAAATATGCAGGTATTGAATGTTGCGAACAATAATTAAAAAAGTAAATAGTTTTTAATATTTTATTAAAAAAAAAATTAATATTCTTATTTAACTAACTAGGGAATGTTAACATATCATTAATAAAATAATATATTTTAAAATATCAAATGCAACTGTTATCGGATTAATTATTATTCACCCTATTGAATACAACAGTTTTTGGTGCCACGATGTATATTTCCAAACAACACTTCCAGTCCGAAACATACCTAATTATTTGTGGTGGGGCGCGAGAGAATGAGAGCGACCCAACTAGTGGGGACTTTAAGTTGCCCTTCATTGTACATGTAATAGCTGTCGTTGTTCCTGCTGCTGCTCGCTTTGTTGTTGTTCTTGCTGTTCTTGTTCTTGTTCTCGTTCTTGTTCTTGTTGTTCTTGTTGTTCTTGTTGTTCTTGTTGTTCTTGTTGTTCTTGTTGTTCTTGTTGTTCTTGTTGTTCTTGTTCTTGTTGTTCTTGTTGTTCTTGTTGTTCTTGTTGTTCTTGTTCTTCTTGTTCTTCTTGTTGTTCTTGTTGTTCTTGTTGTTCTTGTTGATGTTGTTGTTGTTGTTTGTTGTTTGTTGTTGTTGTTTGTTGTTGTTGTTTGTTGTTGTTGTTTGTTGTTGTTGTTTGTTGTTATTGTTTGTTGTTGTTGTTGTTTGTTGTTGTTTGTTGTTGTTTGTTGTTGTTGTTTGTTGTTGTTTGTTGTTGTTTGTTGTTGTTGTTGTTTGTTGTTGTTGTTGTTTGTTGTACCCCCCAATTCTAGTATGGTGCGTTTTAAGTTGAATTCGCCAGAGGCTTTCTGTATCTTCTTCCCTACTTCTGTTGATCCCGTAAAGGCAATTTTGTCCACCTGAAATTAAATTCTCATGACTTATTTGAATCTAAAATAAAACCTATAAAAGATATAAAGGAATAAAATAAAATGAAGTATTCCATTTTTTAAAAATAAAGCACAGAAACAGTGACTAGCTTCAAACCATGTGTATTTTAAAGTAAGAAAGTTAAAGCAACAATATTTTTAGGGGAGATAGCTAGAACCCTAAGCTTTACCGTTACCTGATACCATTCGAAAGAGAATAAAATTGTGTATCAGAATATAGAAAAACATAACAGTTCCA